CAACTCAAACTTTGAAAAACAGAAAGAGGAGAACTAGCAGTTTTGAGCTCTAAGAACCACAGAAAGACAACAAGATTTCGAGTGTGTGTTCTGTGCTTTCAGTACTGAATGGGTGGGGTATTTATAGGCCCCAACCCAGTTCAAATTTGGAGCTCAAATCTGTCAATTCCCGGAATTCCGGGATCAGGTGGTTGCACATCCTGACTGGGGCGGTTGCACCGCCTGGCATAGCTCGAAGACTGAGCCTCTAGGCGGTGCCACCTCTGTCAGGGGCGGTTGCACCTCTCTGCCAAAGCTCGAAGACCGAGCTCAGGCGGTTGCACCGCCTGACTGGGGAGGTTGCACCGCCTGGCAGAGCTCGAAACTTGAGCTCTGGCAGTGCTACCTCTTGACAGAAGAGGTTGCACCACCCAGTCTCGCTCGGAGACTGAGCCCGGGGCGGTGCCACCTCTTGGCTGGGGCGGTTGCACCGCCCAATCTCGCTGGGAGACATAGCCTGGGCGGTGCTACCTCCTGGCTTGGGCGGTTGCACCTCCCACAGCAATCAGGGTCCGAATGGGTTAATCCATTCGGCCCAATTTGATTCTTTCAGGGGCCCAATTGCCCCAAGATTAAGCTAATGGGATCACCTCCCATTTCTAACTTAATCAATTTGCTAACTACGATTATTTCCTAAGACATATTCTGCAGCTTGCTCCGGTGCGTCAATCACTTCTTCCGGCGAGTTTCCGGCGAACTTCCGTCGATCATCCGACGAACCCTCGGTGATCCTCCTACGGACTTCCGGCAAACTCCTGGACTTGCGACGATCCACTTGGTAAGTTCCGACGAGCTCCTTTGGCAAGCTTCTGGACTTCTCGGATTTGTTCCCGTAGAACCTCTGACGATTGTCCGAACTTCCGTCGAGCTCTCGAACTCCCAACGTGATCATTGTCATGACTCCGGCGCAACTCCTGCTGCATGTCTTACTTTCATCATAGTTAATCCTGCATACTCAAAACAAAAACTTTGATCGAGATAATTAATCCTAAGCAATTAACCAAGTTGTCCGGCATGTCATTGGTCCCTTGACGCTTCATCCGATTCTTCGGCGCATCGTCCTTTCCTGCAGCCTATTGCCCAATCGGCCAGTTGACTCCGCAACTCCGATATCCTTGGCACAATACCCGCTCTTCTTGGCCCGATGCCCGAGTCCACGACCCGAAGCCTTCTGTCGATACGTCGACCGATCCACCGGCCCGACGTCCAATCTTCTGACATGTTCCTCCGGCACAACATGATTTTCCTGCTTTAATTGTCTCATCCAGATCGAAGCATCCTGCGTCACTCAAAACACAGATTAAATCATAAACATATATCAAGTAGTTTCATCATCAAAATACGAGATTCAACACGGACTCATAGATAGGTAGACTCCATCATAGTGGGGAAGTTTGAGGATGCCATCGGTGTTTATTTTATTGCACAACAAAATAACTTCCGAGTGAAATTTGTTTATAAGATGATTTATAGAGTAATTAATTGCCTAAATACGTGAAAATTGAGCTATTTTGACAACTCCATAAAGAATGACAGACGCTGAAAACAATGTGTTTGTTTGATCGACCTAATATGATGAAGGTTACTAATGATGATGGGCCTTAAAAAGACATCAGATACGATAAAAGTTTTTAACTTAAATAAAATTAATGTAAAATGATGAAGAATAATTTATATTGAGTTCATAACTTAGCCCTAATCTTGAATACAACAAAAAGGTATTAAGGCTTTACTAGGAGTTTTAGGTATCAAGGCTGTGTATCCTCATAAAGTTGCAGTGCTTGAATGTAGAGCAGAGAGAGAACATTGTAGAGAGATATGAATGTTGTTTAAAATCTGTCTTTTTCTCCTCTCATCTCCATTTATTTTCTATTTTGTTATTGTTGATTAATCAGAGTAAAAATAATTTATTTTTTACTTGATATTGATTTAATTGATTTGATCTTATATGGACTTATATGATTAAATTCAAAATTTTAATTTTGTCTTGGTTTAGATTGTAAATTGATCAAATTGTATCATCTGAATACATATGATTTGACGATTTTGATTCATTTCGACCTATAATACTTGTAATGTAACTTGATGAACTTATTTGCAATATAAATAGTCTATTCATAAACATTTTTTTGGAGTTCAATTGTGTTTGTCGACTTGGAATACTGTATATTTAACCATTAGATACTTACTCATGATGAAATTTATGTAGTTAATTTTGGTTACTAATCTAATTATTTTTGATAAAATTAAATAAAAATTAAAATAGGGTGTAATTTTGCTTAAATTGGAAATTTTTAAAGAGGACCTAATTTCATATTTTAAAGGTTTAAAATAAATACAAATAAGAAAAATGATCATTTCGGTTTTCTAAAGTTATTTACAAGTTTTCTTAAAATTTTATAATTTTTATAATAGGTTGGAAATAAACTATACTGTTTTTTTAATGCGGTAAACTATTTATTGTAAAAGGTCCTAAAAATAGTATAACCTCATTCAAAAACAGTGTAGCTCAGGTTTTAAAAATTATTTTTAGTGTTTTTAAAATCTCAAAAAACCTTCTATAATTATATTCAAGAGATTTTGGAACCAAAGTTATAGTAAATTCATCTTAAATTGGGTAAAATTTAAACAACATACTTTTATATTTCGAAGGACTAAAATAAATATAAAATACCTATTTTAATGACTCAAACATAGAAAAAATATATATCATTTAATTCTTTGCTTGAAATTTTGAGAATTTTTTGAAATATATTAGATATGATTTACACTATTTTTTAATAGTGTAAATCAATGGAACATCATTTAAAAACCTTATAACTCAGGTTTTGAAAATTTGTTTATTTTCTTTAAAACCTTAAAAAATATATAATTATATTCAGTTGGTTTTTGGACTAAAGTTATGATAAATTCAATTAAATTTTGTAAAATTAAAATAATCTTAATTTTAAAATTTTAAAATAACTGAATATATAATAATATAAATATGTTAATGGTTCAAAAAAAAAATCATTTTGGCCTTTGGAAGTTATTTACCAGTTTTTCTTGAAAATTGAAGTATTTTTGGAGCATATTGGATGTGCATTACAATATTTTTTAATAGGGCTATAAATAGTGCAACCTCAACAATGTAAATTAAGTCTTGAAAAACATTGTGGTGTCTTTAAAACCTCAATAAAATTATATAATTATATTCAAGTGATTTTTGGGCCAAGGTTATAGTAAATTCATCTTGAATAGGATAAAATTAAAAAAACAACTTTCATATTTTAAAGAGTTGAAATAAATAAAAATATTTATTCTAATGGCTCGAAAAATGAAAAATGATCATTTAGGCTGTTGTAAGTTATTTGTAAGGTTTTCTGAAAATTTAAGAGTATTTTAAAAAGATGGAATATGAGTTACACTATTTTTAAATATGGACCCAAAAGAAAATAGTAGGTTTTCAGAAAGGTTTTTGATGCCTTAAGATCTCAAAGAAGCTTCAATAATAATATTCAAGTGGTTTTTATCCTAGAAGAGAGGTAAATTCACCTTGAGTTTGGTTAAATTAAATATAATTTTAGATTTCTAAAGGACTAAAATTAGTAAAAACGCATTTTAATTACTTAAAAATAAAAAAATATTATTTAGGCCTTTGTAAGTTATTTGCAAGGTTTTATGAAATTTTAAAATTTTAAAAATTTTAGAATCAATATTTATCATCTATTGATTTATTTAATGACTTTAATTTTATTCATCTATAATATATAAATAATATCATTTATATAATATTTTTAATATTCAGTAATGTGTTGTTTATCTTATTTTTTTAATAATTAGTTTCAGAATTATTTATATTTTAAAAATTAAATAAAAATATATTATAATTATTTGTTTTATTGACTGCT